ATAGGCAGCGATCGCAGTATTTCCTCGGAGTTCAATTGGTTCACTTCTGCAAGAAGTTGCACCACTCTCATACTTTCAATTACTCGAAGCGGACTGGACAGAATTCCAGCCAGTGTTAACGGGATGCTATAAACACACGCTATCGATCGCGGTTGGTCGTCTTCTATTTCTCCACCGTATTGGTAGTTGGTACACATACAGTTCGTGTTATTAGCGAGTACTGGTGGCAGCCTAAAACGCTGCCCATTTGGTCATTTCTGTTCTGTATTACTACTGAGATGGTTTTCGGTAGGTGTGTTAGTGTCCCTTGAAACATAGATTTACCTGAAGACCTGGCACGACTATGCGATTGACGCAATGGCCGTAGGCCTAGAGTTCAGGTTGAGTGGAGGGTCGATTAATAGGTTACATGCTTCCAGCAGTTTGGTTTCGGGTTTATAGTTGGGTTTTGCAGCTAGGGGGTTATAGCTGGGATTCACCTTTCAATAACCATTGGGTAGATATACAATACTTCCTCAATTGAATTACCCGATAAGTACTTAATTACGAATTAATTTAATCAAAACGTTATCGTTTCGGGAAAATGGTCGCTTGGCGGTCGCTAGAGATTCGCCAGACATTTTGCGACACAATTGCTACAACGCAGAAATTTTCAAATTGCGTGCTGCTTCTTAAACCGACCTGGCGCACTTAAAAGCCCTGATTCACATTTACGACTCACCTTATTTTTACCTCCACAATTTTCTACTAGTTAGCCTTTTCGCCAACCTTAAAACTCCTATTTTTTTATCCACTGGTTTGGATTTTGCCAGTGGGGTCATGCTGAAAGCCACCACCCGAGTGTACCAGGTCAGATTAAAACCGGTGTCAATGCATTGAAGAAAAAATTGCAAAAAGACACATGTGTGTTTTTGGGTACTTACCTTTTTGCTCATTAATTTATTGAAACGACCTAACACATTGGCCAGGACTTCCCGAATGCCAGTACTGTTTGAAAGCGCCAAGAGGCTGACCTTCTGACCCACGGCTGGCACCTGGCAGTGTCCAACCTTCCAGCCCTCATGATTCCAGGGCACAAAACGCAATCGGGCCTGAAGTCTGTAAGGCAGCAGAGGGGGAATAATTTCAGCCAATGATTGCCGGCAGCCAAGAGAAATGTCGGGGCATATTAAGCAGAAAAGTAAAACGGGCAGTCGGCCAAGTAAGTAGTCCATCTTTGATGAGAAACAAACCTTCACATGACTCGCTTAATCAATGTATATGGGTGAAAAACAAAGTCACCTAGCCAGGGTAGGTTGAGTTTCCTGCTCTAGGTTGCCCCCGCCCCCCTATAGGTTGACTAGACGCAGTCAGATGTTGCGTCTGAGTACGGATACAAACGTTCATATGTCACCCCAACGGGCAGAAAGTTCACTATAATAATCCATGATTTCCGGGCTCGCCCAGGCTGGGTGCAGACATAGTTAATAGTTAGTTAGTCAATCTCGTTTGCTATACCAACCTGCGAAAAGAGCAACAGCTTAGGCTGGGAGGTGCGTAAGGCAACAGCAATAATTAAACAGCCTTTTTCTGAAGAAATCACAGAGTCCTTACGGCATTCTGCTAGTCTGTACTGTTACGGAGGCGGGATCCTCCATGCACTCACGGCAGTCGCCGAAAAGGACA